ATATAACAGCGAAAAATATTTTCAAGGGTGTTTTTTTTTAGGCATAAATACTCGAAATTTTTCGATCGTTTCAAAATGTTGGCTACATTTTCCGGAAAAGTGCACCCTTTTCTAGACTTTTTCTTGTTCTTTTGATTTTTCCTTCTTTCTTTCATAAAAATAAAGGTAATTAAATGACAATTCTTTTACGATTTTGTCGTTTTTCGGGATGAATACTTATGTTGACCTTCAAACAATTACATAATTCATAATGAAACACCTCCTTGGGCTCCTCATTCAGCTGCTTGCCTTTCCTTCTTCTTTTTCTATTTGAGTTTGCTGATCTTGCTTTTTATTTTCTTCTCATTAGAGAAGTCTTCCATGGGGTTTGCATCCTTTATCATCTGATATCTTTCCAAGACCACTGCACAGCATGTCTTTGGTGCAATGTTTTCATTTGCATCAATAATATCATTAATGATATTTGAAAGCACATCTAGAAAACGTATACGAGTTAAACGTTGGCCATTTGCTGTTCTTTTATCTTTTGCAATGAAGGCGCTGATTACCGAACGAATCTCAGAAGGTAGATCCAATGTAGAGGGGCATTTCATTATCAACTTCTCAAACATGCGACCAGGACCCATGTGTTTGATCACTTACATTTCCATAATCATACATTTGCTTCATATTATCTATATAACGATAAATATACTTTTTTCCATGAACAGACCTTATTACCCAGCCTTTCTGAAAAGATTCATAACGTTTTTCAGGTTCAAGAACAAAATTACTACATAAATTCAACAGATCCTCCATCCAGTAGAATTTCAGTAGATTCAGAAAGACCACGGTTTGAGCTCAGTTCCCTTATGAGAGAATCAATGCAAAGAAGTTTAGTGAATTGTATTTTTTTCCGGCTTGGGATTGAAAAAAAATTGTATCCCGGAGGTATGCATTACGTGTTAATAAGTGCCATATTTATTCGTGTAAAGCATTAGTTAAAATGATAAAGATGTTAATTATTAATGAAAGAATAACTCCCACGCTCAATTATTTGTTAAATTATTTATCTAAATCTCTGTGTGTGTAGGTAAAACAGTGCAGAATGATTAAATATACTAAGTCATTGTTCATGCAAAATATGCAAAATATGCCAGCAGTTAGGTTATAATCTGGGGGCAAACAATTATATAATACTAATAATACTTTTGCACAATAATTTTGATTGCTAACTTTTTCGTTTAAAGAAGGCAGTAAAATAGGCTTTCTTAGATTATTTATATATATATATATATTGAAAACAATTATCAAAAAGGAAATACAATGCAATAAGCTAATTAAAACGGATTTAATATATATATTTCTTCAAACAATAAGGTATTAAAAATTCACATGATGAAAATAAACTGTAATAATCGTATAACATCTGAAACATAAATAATATTGTGAAAATTCAATATAGAAAGTACAACAAACACTTTTAAATGCTTTCGTTTGCAAAAAATGTGAGATTTATTTTATCAAAGTACTGTAAAATTTTAGTTTACATAGGTTAATCTATTGTAACAAAAGGTGTTCCCCAGTGGGGGAGCGGTCAATCTACGGACATCCAATACTAACATCCAAGGTTCGTTTCCCGCGTTGTACACAGCAAATAACCCAATGTGGCTTTGTTCTAAAACGAAAGTAAAAAAGAATCAAATTTTTTTTTTAACACACACTGGAATAGCTTGGTATATTCGCAATATATATATAAAAGTGCATTAGTTCCCCCATGCTTCAACAACAGCCACCTTTAACCATAATCACTTTATCAGATCATATATCAAGAAAGTCTTTTTATCCTTCCTTAATAGCAATAGAATATTACGTTTCCTGAGTCCGCTTAAAATTAAATCTTGAAAAATATTATTGTTATTATAATTTAACGAACGTAAAATAATAGGGCAATTCTGTATTTTTATACTTTAATTGGCATTAACAGTTAACAATTATATATAATAATAATACTCAGTTTTTGTCTGACCTGAATATGTGCGCGCAAGTTATTATCTAAATGTGTATGCGCGCGCACTTCATTTCAATGTGTAAACAAAAGGCGAAAGTAAATATAAATTAGTAGACATTTTGTACAAAAACATGTTAAAAGCTTATCAACATTTTAAAATATGTCTAATGTTATGGTGTAAAATACCATTATATGTTTATTTATTGATAATATTAAGGACTAAACTAAGGCAAAAAACGTACACAAGCTAGAGTGATAACTTATTTCTTTATTGAATATAGGCCGTACTTAATAAAGGCTTAACTAATGTTAGGCCTAAGAAAAGTGGACTTACAGAATTTGGTGTCTACGATTAGAATTATTTCGTATTACTCTAGAAATTTTGTATTCAAAGAAGTACTATTGCAATAAAGATACCAAACTGACCCTAAATTTTTGCGGGTCTCTGCTAGTAAAGAATAATACTGTCTATTTGTATGGTTATCATCAATAGTTTTAATCAGAATGAGTTAACTAGCAAAAACCTTAAAAAATAAAGTTGAACAAATAAAAAAATGATGGTGCAATGTATGTGTACCTCTTATAGGATGCTACCTGGACACGAATCCAGTATTCCTTGGAACTTCAAACTTTATGTTACACGAAAATATCGGTTGACATAGAGTCCAATGTAATTATTTAGATGCATATGTAGGTGGGTACATCTGTAATAGGAACTGTTGTTATAAGTGGGCCGTGGTGAATGGTTTTACTTAAAATATACGATACTTCACCGTATAAAAGGACACTGAGATATGGTTGAGATGAAATCCAATGGGTATAGACACAAAACTATACTGATAAGGCGCATGTTAACCTAAATCTGGCAAAGGGGTCAATGTAACCAAATATATAATTTTGGATCGTCTGCATTAAAAAGCAAAAATTGTGAGGGACAACCAGAATGAATAATGATACTATTTTGTCCATTTTGTAACTTAAATCTCAATTCTTATATATATATATATATTACTATTGATGAATGGTTTCTCTCTCTCTATCTCTGACATGATTGAGCTTTTTTCCTTTCATATATTACGAAGACAAAACCTTGTAGGAAACAAATTCCAATTTAAACACCTAGCAAAAGCGTCAAGCTCTAATAACAACTGTTTTTCGGGCATTTCTCTATATCATATTAGACATCGCCCCCTGTTTTGATATGTTTTGTTGTTATTGGTCTACCCCATATAAGATAACTTGCGTGAATCCCTTCTTTGACATCTTGCCCTGAATACTTCTTGCTTCAATGTCTACTTATTTCCCGATTTTTTCAAACTTGATTTATATGTAAGTGAGCGACAAACGTTTTCCATTTATTAACTGTAGGACAAAATAGAACTAATAGGTTTCACGTATTTTTGTGATACGATAAACACGAAACACATAGGAGTTCTAATTTTGAATCTTAGGGCAAACTGTATGCACACTTGGGCAAAGAACTCAGGTCATAGGCCACTACAGTTCAGGTATAGCCGTTCTTAATTTTGAACTACTAATGAGAGGAAAAGCAACAAGCTAAGCAGCACCCGCCGCAACAAGGGCTTTGCTTGACTCTTTGAACCTAATGAGGAAATTAGCTGTAACTCAAAATTAACTTATGTGCTCCTCTAAATATAAAATAGCAATAATAAAAAAAAACGGAACAAAGTGTTAATTAATTTAACCCTTAACTTTTTGGGATAAATCTATATGACCCTAAGCAATTTTATTTTGCTAACAAATAATTTTCAACTTTTACTATTATATTGATATTTTCTATATTATTTTGCATTAGGTAAAGGAGGCTTTTGAATATGATTGTATACTTCTAAAACAGATTATTTTTTTATAAAAAATATATATTTATATTTATATTATGATCCTGTCCAGGTACTTACGTGCGTCCATGATTTAATAAGAATGTTCACTAAAAAATCGTCTACAGTTATAAAGATCAGTTTATACCAAAACAATATACAGTCATCGAGTGTCTTCACACTTTTGAAATGAAGACTAATATCAACTGTCGAGAGGGGAGAAAATATGTTTGGAACATTAAATATAAATCTGTTCTGAGTCTTTTATCTTAAAAAAATAATGTAAAAATATACATCAAGAACAAAACCATCTGTATGAAATTTGTAATAATTATGTTTACTAGATATTTACTGAAATGCAATAGTCCAGAATCGCTTCTTACACATCCTATCTTAGTATTTAGGTTAGGAAATATAATTTAAGTAGTTAAAGGTTCTAAAATAGTGTTTTTGGATTTCTTGAAGAAACCCTGTTGTTATTGTTGCTGTCTGAATGAATACTGTGCAAATAATTAAAGAAAAACAATAATGACAATCAAATAAACTCCCAAAATTACTGACAATCTGTCATATGCAGTAAAATGACTTAGTTTACAAATATGCAAGACGGATTGTTAAAAAAAATCTACTTTCTGACATACGATTTGGGAAAGAGGGGCTAAGGTAACAAAATTTCGAGAATGATGCAAAATATTAACCGAATGAAACCATATGCGTTACACAATTCAGCCAGAAGACAAAACGATTGGTTATGATAGTTAAAAGCTTTGACTCCAATTTTCTAGATGTACTTGAATTGAGTTCACCATCCTCTAAAGAAGAGATCGTTAGGTTCAATGAATTTTAAAACTTCTGCCGAATGTAGTCAAGTTTGTTTGTTTCTATCATGCAGCTTAGAGGTTACAAAAGGTGCTGGCCTGCAACGAGCTCGGCTGCACCTCCTTATTTGTTATGCATGCCAAGCACATTCGGGTTTGGTCTTTTCTGTTAGAGTCGTCCCGGCTAGAAAACGAGTAGAACAAGTTCTCGACCAATCAGAGTGAAGTAACTGTAGTGTCCTGTTATTCCAGACTTTACGAAGGTAGGACGGCAAGGCAAAGTTTTCTCCCACAAGCTACAGGTAACGTCTGTTGCAGCATAAGCTAGATTGCAGACTGCAGTCTTGAGAATTTAGGGGCAAAATGACCACTGTACAGCAAATATAAGTCCTTGCCCTAGGCGAGTGTTTTATGTTCCAGAAGGTATAGAAAAGGAAAGCTAATTGATTGAGGAGGTAAACTTGATATAAATGGATTCAGGTAAGCCTTGGAAGATGGTTAAATATCAATATTGGTGTATGGTTGCGGACATTTGGAGTATCATGCTATATTAAATACTTTATTTGGCCATGTCAACATTCTGAAGCAAAACTGTGTTCCATCGTTTTCTTAACTCTGCGTGTTATTCGATTGAACTCAATCTATGTTCAAGTAGAGAAATTTTGAAATATGTATTCTTATGTAAGCAGCTTCTGTACAAAATAGTGCGAAAAGGGAAATACAATATTTTTAAACTGCCTTTCACACCATAGATATGAGCTGATTTCAAACGCGCCTGGTAAATATCCCATTATTTAGATACTGAAAACGATATTCCTAAATTGTACAATTGTTCACTGTTTGATACTCTCTTGTTTTTGCATGTTATATTTATTTGAATTTGCTCTATAAACAACAAATTACTTCTTGTTTATTAGAAAATGCTCTATAAGGTTAGACTAATTACTTTAACAGGTATTATTTTAAATAATTCAAAACCATGGGCCACATTTCAACGGTTAGAACTCACAGGAATATAAAGAAGAGAAATAGTTTAGAAGTAAATATGCAACTATCTGTAATTATGAAAATTATTTATTTATTTTTAAGTAAATGTCTGCAGTTTCGTTTTATCTGTCCCACTAACTGGTTCAGGAATGAATCAGGCCCATCGTAAATATCTTATTTCCCCTCCCTATTTCATATTTGTATATTTTTATAAACAAGAATCACAAAATAAACACGATCTCTAAATCAGGGTAAAAAACTTGGGCAGAGTATTTTCCAACGATTATCTTTAAAAAATAATGTATAAAAAGTTACACAAATCAGACTGCCACATTTAAAGTCAAATGTTTTTCTTTATCTTTGATCTAACTGACCTGACGAGAACAGATACGACTCAAAATTGTGAATCCCAGTTGATCCTGGAAAGGATTTAGTTACAAACAAGAAAGGTATTGTGGCTTAGCTATGTCATGGATTATGCACTCCGTGACATTTGTTATGGCTAAGCTGTATCATAGATCATGCAGTCTGCGACACTTATTATGGCTTTGCTATGTCGGATTATGCAGTCCGTGACACGTTTATGGCTTAGCTGTATCATAGATCATGCAGTCTGCGACATTTATTATGGCTTAACAATATCATGAATTATGCATTTCGTGACACTTCTTATGGCTTAGCTATGTCATGGATCATGCACTACGTGACACTTATTATGACTTAATTATATCATGGATTATGTACTTTTTGTTTTTGTTTTCCAGAAAACGATGTAAAACTTCGCTCAATTGAACTGTTCTACTACTACTCAATTATTCTATTTATGTTTTAATTTATTTCTGAAAAAAATGACATGCTCGAATAATTTTAGGTCACAATAAAAATATAATTTCAATTATAAATATATTTTCGACTTTAAAGTTTGTTTTTTAATCACAGAAGTTGGATTTTCTGGATTAAGTCCAAATATTACTGCTGTTTGTCAACAATTATTTTTGAGGATCGGCAGAAAAAAATCGTAATGAAAAAAAATGTATTTTATAAGAAGATAATCATGACTTTTAAGGGCAATGTTAAAGAATTTTTTAGCGCATCTGCTAATCAGGAAGACCCTAACGTCAACTGAACGTTCAGAAGTAAAGTGAGCAAGAAGGGAAAAGGCTTTTTCAATTTTTTACGAATGGATTTTCATCGGAACATGTTCACCAGAACCCTAAGTAGTAAGTAATTTGTATTAGATTAAAAGTACATACTTAGTTTGATGACAAACTAATAATGTTTTGAGTTTTAAATAGTATGTGCTCACAAAGAGTTCACACAGCAAATTAAAATTTATAAGAGCTTTAAGTTAAACTACTTAATAATTACGCTCGACTCACAATCTGAGGGTCGCGGGTTCGAATCCGCATCCCACCAAACATGCTCGCCCTTTCAGCCGTGGGGGCGTTATAATGTGACGGTCAATCCCACTATTCGTTGGTAAAAGAGTAGCCCAAGAGTTGGCGGTGGGTGGTGATGACTAGATGCCTTAATCTATACAGCTGTTTTCAGTTCTTTAAGGCATGTAACAGGGAACTCCCCTTTTATCTTAAAGTGAACATTTAAGTTTTTCAGATTTGTCTGCTCTTGCACTTTTTCATACTTTAAGTGTAGTAATTCACTCAGTAAGATACAATGACTCCTTCGCAAAAGCTTATGTTTACTGTTAAAAACAAAAATACGTTCTTTGTTGATGTCATTCCAACACTTAAACAGAAAAGTACTGTAGCCAAATGGACGAAATGTTTTACACTTTCTACAGTGTTATACAAATAGCCCCCACCCCTCCCATGGCTCAGCGGTAAGTTTGAAAGCTTATAATGCTAAAAGCCGGGTTTCGATACCCTTAGTGAACACAGGTAGCCTATTGTGTAGCTTTAAGATTAACAATAAATAAACAAATTCATCCAAACAATGCATATACACGCACATAAATGTACTAATAACCCCAAAAACGTGGTACACACTCTTTATATTTTTGGTGAATCCTGCTGTTTTATAAACAGTTTAAAGATAGGTATTTTTCCCCACAATACGAAACTCCAGTTTTCGATGTCCAAAAATGCAATTTGAGGCTTATATATATAATGATCCTTTTTTAACCTTTTATAATTAAAGGTATTGAAAATACAAAAAAATATTTAATTTTTTTCTGAATTTAATTAAAAATTAATGACGACCATAATTGAAATTATCAGCAAAAAATGACAATCACTGCCCTGATTTAAGTTTCGAGTTCAAATATAAATCGAATAATTTTTCTATTTTCAATATTTTGTTTTACTTATTTCCATCATTTTCTCA